GGGGCGTCGGGGGCCTGGGGCACAGGCCGATGCGCGGGGGTCCCCACCAGTACAGGGGCGGGGCCTGGGTCGCCAGAGTGGCCCCGCTTCGGTATGGGAGGGGGTCGTCCTGGGAGCACGCCTCTTCCCGAAAGGAGGGCGCCCCTTCCAGGGAGGACACCCTTCCCTTACCGATGGGGAAGAGTAAACAGACTGTCGTTTTTTTCAAGAACTTGATGGAGGGAGGTCACTGTCTCCAGGGTCATAATGATAGGCAAAGTATACCGAGTGCTCCTAAGCGCTTGACGGTTATTAATTCAGGGAAGCATCTCCAGAGGCCTACAGGTAGGTTCTGTTGTAATCCCCGTTGTACTGAAAGGATGGGTCACTTGCCCCATGTCGTGGCTGCCATTTGAGAGGGTGACTTGTGGGTAAGTGTAGCCTCTAGCAGTGAGGGGAAAAATTAGCGAGCAGGGAGCTTCTGAGAACCCACTTGTGGGGATGCGGACTGGGGAGACCTTGGCCCTTACCTCCTTCCTCTCTCATCCATTGGGCTTGGAGGGTCCTGAGAACCTCATGGTGGGTTCCTATTTATGCAGAGGTGGTTGGGAAGCTCAGGCCCCCTGAGTTCATCTTTTGTGCCCTACCTCACTCTGTCTCTTGCAGGGAAGTACTACATGGCCACCATGACCATGGTCACCTTCTCCACGGCACTCACTATCCTTATCATGAACTTGCATTACTGTGGTCCCAGTGCCCGCCCAGTGCCAGCCTGGGCTCGGGCTTTCCTACTGGGATATCTGGCACGGGGCCTGTGCGTGCGAGAACGAGGGGAGCCCTGTGGGCAATCTAGACGGCCCGAGTCACCTCACAGCCCCCAGCCTCCTGAGGAAGGGGCTGGCCTCCCAGCAGGCCCTTGCCATGAGCCTCGGTGTCTGTGCCATCAGGAAGCCCTGCTGCGCCACGTAGCCACCATCGCTAACACCTTCCGCAGCCACCGGGCTGCCCAGCACCGCCATGAGGACTGGAAACGCCTGGCCCGTGTGATGGACCGCTTCTTCCTGGGCATCTTCTTCTCCATGGCCCTGGTCATGAGCCTCCTGGTGCTGGTGCAGGCCCTGTGAGTCCACAACAATTGCAACCACAGCAATTCCGGACAGGGATGGAAAGGCCAGGTGGTTGCTGACCCTCAGAAAGACCACTCAGTCTCTCCCCACTGCGCCTAAGAGCCCATGACACCCTCTCTCAGGATCAGCATTGCTGACTTCACACATCACGAAGGAGTACTTGTTGTCTATGTGTCCTGATCTCTAAGAAAAATCTAGAGCTTGCCACTCTCTTAAATCCTACAGAAGAGGAACTCTAAGGAGAATCAAGGTCCAAGTGCAGTCCTGGAGGGACAGAACTGAACTTCAATGATGAGTATTGGAGCTTTCATTGGGGAGAGTGCAAGTTATGAGAAACAGAACCGCCACATTTCCTGCCTTCTTTTCTTTCCTCAGTGGCTGCTGTTACAGGAACTTGGTCTTGCCTGTGCCTGCCTAGGGGCTCAGGGAAATGGATTGGGGATTCAGATTCATGACCTAGTTTCTAGGGCAGGAGGCCACATAAGGATTTGGCCCCAAAGCCCCAACTTACCATAAAGTGAGTGTGTGTCTGGCACCTCCTCTATGTCCTGTCTTACCTTGGGGCCCGTGGTGATGGGAGATGGGGGTCCAGGTTTGTCTCTCTAGAAACAGGAGCCTTAGGATTGACTCATGGATGAAAACAGGAATTACATCTTTGCTCATTAGAAAATGACAGATTTGACCAAGACCCTGGCAGAGGACCTAAAGCTCTCTGCGGTCTTTTCTGTTCCCCTCTCTCTGGGGTTAGCTTCAATCCACCCCATTCCCACACAATGACATTCAGAGAACTTGAAAGTATGCAAGGTAGGGACATTGTGGGGACCAGCTATTCACAGGCACTTGTTCCTACTGACTTGCACACGTCCCCCAGCACCACCTCTTTGCCTCAGACCCAGTCCCAGACCTCAGGAAGCTCACAATCTGACATGGGCAACAGACACGGACATGTGGTGTAGAGAAACCCCCAGGACTTCTGGGAGCACAGAGGCAGCACCCTTACCCAGCAGGGGCAGAGAAGTCAGAGAAAGCTCCCTGGAGGAGTAAATCAGAACTTCCTGTGCGCATGTGAGGAATTTGAGTAACACCAGCAAGTACCACGGCCAAGTGCTTTCCTCCCCAAGCACCTCGACACCACTAGTTTAATCTCCTACCTCCAAGTGAGTTGTTGCCTGTCCTGGAGTCCCCCTACCTCTCTTCAATGTGTCACTCCTAGAGCACTGGGTAAAATTCAGGCCCCAAATTCTATTTCTCCACCATCAGGCCTGGCAGCTGCCAGAGAAGGTCCCAGAGTTCCCTGCAGATGGAGCTTCTACAGATCTTGGCTACACTTCAGGCACACATGTGGCCGACATCCTCATGTTGGGCAGAGGTGACAGGCAGGGCTGTTCAGATTCTGATGGGTCAGAGGAGGCCTGAACTTTCTGGAAAGGCTCTTCCGACAAGGAACCAGAGCAGCAGTGGAAAGGACCAGACTGCAGAAAAGGGGCCCTGGCCCATGCCTGCAGGGAAACAGAGGCCGAGAGAGATATTTAGGGGTGAAGTGAGGTACACAAAGAAGATGAGAAACAAGCAGAGTGAGCTGGAAACACTGGTGCACACAGTATGATGGGAGACAGAGTCAAAGAGCAAGAATTTAGGGAAGTTGGGAGACAATATTTGGTAACAACTCCGACAAGGGGTCAATATCCAAAATATATAAATAACTCATACAATTCAACACCATACAAACAAACAGTCCCGTTAAAAAATGGGCAGAGGACCTGAACAGACACCTCTCTCAAGAGGACATACAAACGACCAACAGATATATGAAAAGATGCTCAACTTCACTAGCTATTAGGAAAATGCAAATTAAAACTACAGTGGATACCACCTCACACCTGTTAGAGTGGCTGTTATCAATAAGACAAATAACAAGTGTTGGGGAGGTTGTGGAGAAAAAGGAGCCCTCATTCACTGCTGGTAGGAATGTAAACTGGTACAGGCACTATGGAGGCTCCTCAAAAAAGTAAGAATAGAGTTACCATATGACCCCAAAACCCCTTTTTTATATATCTACCTGGAAATTTTGAAAACATATATTTGCAAAGATACATGCACACCTGTGTTCACTGCAGCATTATTCACAGTGGCCAAGACATGGAAACAACCAAAGTGTCCTTTGACAGATGATTGGATAAAAAAGATGTGGTACATATATACAGTGGAACACTACTCAGAAAAGATGAACTACTGCCATTTGCAACATGGATAGACCTTGAGAATTATCATGCTAAGTAAACTAAGTCAGAAAAAGTTAAGAACTGTATGGTGGAGGCAGGAGCAGGGAGGAGGGGATCAATGGCGGGGAGAAAGGTGACATGTAATACTTTCAACAATAAAGATAAATTTTAAAAAACCATATGATTTCACTCGTGGGATATAAAACTGAAAGTAACAAATGAACAAACAAGAGAAACAGACAAAAACTCACAGACATACAGACATGTATGGTGGTTACCAGAGGGAATGGGAGTGGAGGGGTTGTTAAGGATAAAAGGGGTCAAATACAGTGTATGGTGACGGAAGACTATTTGACTTTGGGTGGTGAGCACAAAATGCAGTATACAGATCATGTATCACAGAAATGTACACTTGAAACCTATATAATCTTATTAATATCACCCCAATAAATTTAATTAAAAAAAAGAATTTAGAGAAAGGTAAACAGAGAGGAAGAGACTGGGAGATACCAGAGGTTATTAGGTCTGTCCTCCTGCCTCCTATGGACACACAAGGCCTTGCAGGGTGGGATGAAGCGTGGGTAGAGATCTGAATGGGAGCTAGTGACGCTGATCTTGGCTCCTCTGCCCAAACCCTGGTAGTAGAGGTGCTGGTGGGCGGGGGCTGAGGGAGATCTTAAACTTTTCCAGTGCATGAAATTTCATTATCAAAACTCACCCAAAGAAGCAGGTTGGAGGCTGGAGACCTAGCTTCTGGCTCTGGCTTTGCTACTAACTTATTCTGTCGCTTTGGGAAAGTCACTTCCATCTCTGGGTCTCACTTTACTATATAATGAGGGTGATACTCTGTGTTCTGCCTCCTTCTGATAGGTTATTGTGCAGTGAGGGATAAAATGAGATGGTATCTGGGGAGGTGGGGGCCAACCTGGAGTTGTGGCTCAGAGTTTGGTTCTAGGGTCAGGCTCTCTGGACCCCACCCCTTACTAGCTGTGTGGTGTAGGGCTGGTTGCTTCACCTCTCTGTGCCTTAGTTCCCTCATTTGTACAACAGGGTGATGACAGTACCTATACTGCCGGGCTGTGGTAAGGATTCATGGCATGGGGTTCCTGGAACTCTTGAGTGGGTACTATGTCATGGAGAATGGTGAGAACACAGTGGAGACTGGGGCTCCTTTTTGTCCACTGTTCACAGAGCCCAGAGGGAGAGGAGAGACCCATGAGGAGGGGCAGCTGTGTTTCTTCCCTGGGAATGGCTTGTTCCAGTAGGTTCCCCTGGAAAAGCCTGTTCCCACCTAGAGAAGGGGTGGCCCAGGCAGGCCCTGGCACAGCAGGTATTGAAGGGAAGGGATGTCCTGGCTGAAAATGACTGGGGAGGATCTAGTCCAATTGGCTTATTATACAGATAGGGAAACTGAGACCCAGAAAGGGAATAGTTGGTCACAAAGAGAGGACAGAGCCTGGACTAGAGCCCAGGTCTCTTAATACCTGATGTCCACCCTCCAATCTGGAAGGTGATTTGAGGGAGTGCTGAGGCCAGTAACAGAGACAGAGGGTTCTCCAGGTGAGGGCGAAGGCCCAGGAAGGACTCTGTGGGATCAGCCCTGCCCTCCATCACCTCTGTGCAACATAGATCTCTCTGGGGCCTGAACAGCTGTCTCCTGTGAGGGAGGGGCAGCCCCAGAGAGGGTGGCAGGCGTGTCAGCTCGCCCAACCACTGCCCCGTACATATAAATACATCCTCTGAGAGAGGTTAGCAATCCCCACAGGCGTCTGCTTTAGAGGGTTTTTTTTTTTTTTTCCTAATTAGAAGAGGGTTGTTTTCCTTCTAAGGGGGACATCCAGGTGAGGAGTCCAACCCCAGGGCAGTCTGCTCATCCCCAAATGGGGCCTATGTCCTAGAGGCCTGCAACCTTTACCTGAGTTTTCCAGATGGCAGGGCCTAGAGTTGCACTGCTTGTCTGTAGAGAAGAAATAGAAAAGAATGAAAGGCTTAATCGCTCTCAGGATGGGAAGGGGTCCTGTGGGCCATCCCCATGTGCTCTAGGAAAGCTGGTACTTTCCCCCCCAACTCTGCTTCCTTATGGTGAGACCTTCCTTGCATAGGTCTGACTTGATTTATGAGCAGCGGGGCCAGAAGGGAGCCAGCCCACAAAACCAGGGCCTGTTCTAAGGGGTACTCCTGCTTCCTTCACCTTCCTGTCACACCCACCTCTGCCTCCGCCGGCCTGTCCCAGCCAAAGACAGGCTAGTTTACGTTCTTTGCATGTTTTCCTCGCCTTCTGACAATTCATGCACACGTGTGATGCTGTCCGCGGTGGGAACTGAGGCCACACAGGACATTTTCCCATGTTAGATGTGGTCCACAGTTCCAGCAGACAGTCTGCCTCCAGCTATGAAAGCCGGGCCTTGCCAGCCCCTGGGCATTACTCAGCTGGGACCAGTAGCCCACAGCACCCACAGATTAGGAGTCTAGGCCCATCCTCATGATTTCTCCTTTGGCTAGTCCGGGGGTGGGGCGGGGATGGACAAGAGTACCTGAGACCTGCCACAGCCTGAGCTGGAACTTAGGGGCACAGCATCCACATGAGGTCTTCTCACCCCCATCCTGGCCCCCACCCAACACACACAACAGCACAGGATTTCTGTTCAATCAAATAAACTTTCTCTTCTTGGAAACTGAGGTTGGGATTCTTGTCATTTCTAGCGACAGCAGTCTGTGTGTCAGTACTGTAGCTAGAGACTCATTCCCTTCCAGCTTATAGCCGGGAGAAAAGCCTGACCAAGTCTGTTTGGCCCTCAAATGGCCAAAGACCCCTGCCTTGGTCAGGAACCCTCTTCAGCCTCCCAGCAGGCAAGTGGCCAGCTCTGGCTCAGACACTGCCAGGGGTGAGAAGCATCCCACCTCAGAAGGCTCTGTCTCCCCTTAGATGGAAGGGTGGAGGGATGGGGAGACAGGACTGCCGTGGCCCTCTCACTGTTGGTTTGTTTTTAATGTTTCTGTATGTATCCCCTGAGAACAGGGTGGGAAGCCCACCTTCCGCACAGCTGCTCACCCACGTGCCCCTCTCACCTTTGATGTACTCGCAGTTGTACGTGCTGTGCTTGCCCAGGGCCCGCAGGTAGATACGGGTGGGGCCCTGGGCCGGTCTGCTGCTGTTGATCACCTGGAAGGTCTCAAAGGGGGGGATCAGCACCTCCTCCTCCTCAGGGAAGAAGGAGTAGCCCCTGATAGGGATCCCGAGACAGGTCCAGATACCAAAGAAGGTCTCCTCACCAAAATGCTGGGCTGTGACATTCTTCAGGGACGCCGAGGCAAAGCCCCCCAGGCGGACGGTGGCTCCAGGCCCTGCCGGCCGGAAGCGCAGGCCTTGCACCCCCCGGAACACCTGGCGGCACCGGGGAGCACCCTGGGCCTTGCTCAGCAGCTGCAGGGCCTCGGTCAGCAGGAAATGGAACGTCTTGAAGGAGAAGCGCTGGAGGTAGTGGACGCGGGTGCAGCCCGCCTCGCGCAGGGCCGCGTTGAACTCCTTGTGCAGGGCGGTGTTGGCCGTGTAGGCCAGGAGGGCCACTCCGTGCTCAGCGCGGAAGCCAGGGGGTGCGGGGGGCAGCCGGGGGGCGCTGAGGGCCCACTCCGGCCCCCAGGCTTGGCGCTCCTGCCACTGGCTGCTGGCCAGCGCCCAGCTCTCGGCATACACTTTGTTGGCCTGGAACTCCGTGCGGTTGAGATCTGGGAGAGCAGCGAGCATGGCTGCTGTGCAGCCAGTGTACTGGTCATCAAAGGAGGTTGGGGCCATGTCCAGGGGCCTTTCTTGAGAGAAGAGTTCTCGTCGTGTGACGGGGTGGCTCTGAGGGAGAGGGAGCAGCAAGGGCGGAGAGGATGAGCCCTAGGAGTGTGGGAGCCTATCCTGCTTTCCCCTCCACTGGGCTGAGAAAGACACTATAAGGGCCCCAAACACACCTGGAGGGGGAGGGGGGGTTGGGAACTGCTAACTGCAAACTCCCCCAGACTGGGGTTTGGGGCTGTCCCCTCGGGCTGAGTGAGTCCTGAGGGAAGCATCAGGCATTCTCTCCCCCCTCTGCTCCTCCTTCCAGAGTTCAGAAGAAGCTGACAGCTCAACTCCCTGCTGGCACGGGGACAGCAGACCGTACCTGAAGTGCTTCCATGAGGCCTATGGACACAAGCAGCAGAGACATGATAGCAGGAGTCTGCATGTTGGAGGTGACCTTGGGTCTGTCTCTTTTGGGGTCTCAGTTTCCTCATCTGGAAAATGGGAATGTTAACCTATGCAGTTTAACAAACATTCATTGACACCTAGTCTGTGCCACTCCCAGTGCCTGGCACAGAGTCACAACATAGAAATGGAGGCTCAGAAGAGAGAAAGAGGACCCTTCTTGCTGGAAGCAACATGGGAGACTTCCTAGAGGAGGTGACGTGTGAACAGGGACTTGCAGGATGAATAGGATAATAAAGCTTCAATCAGAGGAGACAAGGAGAGAAAGGTTTGGAGTATGGGGTGGGAAAAGAGTGTGAGGCAGCAGGAGCGAGAAGAGCAAAGGAACTGGAGGTAGGACCTCTCAGGATGTAAAGAGTAAGAGACATTTTGTCTAGTGTGGCAGAACTTTCAGTGTGGGATTTTCAAAAAGACTGGGGCTAGTCATGAAGGAGCTTGACTGCCACGGCGAGAGGCCTTGGCTTCACCTGGTGGATGTAAGGCTGGAACAGGGCAGAGGCAGGAGTGATCAGCTGCTGGGGCCACAGCAGGACTCCAGAGAGGCTTAAAGCAGGGCTTGGGGATCCAGAGGTCTTCCCCTCTCCCTCCAGTCCTGCTGAGAGCTGAGCCCTCTTCCACTGAGCCCTCAACTGCTTCTAGGTCAGGAAAGATGTAGATTCCCAAGTGGTGAGGAAAGAGAGACTCGGACAGGGAGCGGACAGAAAGTACCTGCTTCCCCAAGGAAAGCTTGAGGGAATCACAGCCTCCTGCACCCTGTGGGTGGGCATGCTGGGGGCCCAAAGTAGCACCAAGAAGAAGGCATCCGGCTTTGGGTCAGGATTGGAACAGACAGTTTCTAAGCCAGTGCTGCTGCTTCTTTTCTGTTTATTTTATTACAAAGTAATGCATGCTTATTGTGGGAAAAATGCATGAGTGAAATATAAATCCAAGTTCCTTTTCTTTTTTCCCTCCCTCTGCATTCCCCTTCCACTCTTACCCATGCCTGCCAGTAGGGAGGGGTTGGCCTGTGATAAAAGTATCCTTCAGGACCTTTCCCTATGCACATACAAATAATATCATTTTAAATATACATAAATAGTTTTATACATACATTTAATATACTTGAATATACATACATAGTTTTCTGCATATAACCTGTTTTTGTCTTTTTTTTCCCAAAAAATAAAAAGAGAACATGCTTACATGTAAATACACATTCTGTAATTTTATAATAAATCATGTACTTCTTCCATGTCATACATATATATCTGCTTTGTTCATTATAATGGCAGCATGGTATTTCACGGTATAGTTAAACCATAACTTAATCACTACCTTATTAATGGACACAAGCTTTTTCCTCATTTTTTATGTTACACATAATATTGCATGAATATCCACATATATAAATACTTTTCTACTTGTGTGTGCATATCTTTATAGCAAAGATATCAAGAACTAATATGATATTTAAAGGATATGAATATTTTTTATTTTGATAGGCACCACCAGATTGCCATCCAAAACGTACCAGTTTGCCCTCCCACCAACAATGAGTGAGAGTGTCCTTTTTCCACATCTTTGCCAACACTGGATATTATTAATCTCTCTTTAAGTTTCACTTAACTGGTGGGCACAAATGGTATCTGCTTTTTAATTTGTACCCCTTCTCACTAACAGGATCAATCATAACTTTAATTTTTTTTTTTAAATATATCTTTATTGATTTCAGAGAGAGGAAAGGAGAGGGGGAGAGAGAGAGAGAAACGTCAATGATGAGAGTCATTGATCGAGCCCGCAACCTGGGCATGTACCCTGACCGGGAACCGAACTCTGATCGCCTGGATCCTAGGTCGACGCTCAACCGCTGAGCCACGCCCCGCCGGGTCATAACTTTAATTTTTAATATTTTAAAGTTTTAACTTAATGTTCTAAAAGGCAGTACATATTTATTATTCAAAATGTCAGTAGTCCAAAAGGCATACAGTAAACGTGTTTTTCTCATTAATTCCCCAATCCCAACCTCATCTCCCAGAGGCAACCGATGCATCTGTTTTTTGTGTATCCTTCCAGAGATATGCTATGCATACACAGGGAAATTCACAGGCATTTCTGTTTTCCTTCTTTTGCACAAATGGTAATACAGTCAGTGGTTCTTTATCTTTGAGAATCTGATGAAAGCTAAAATCTGTCCTCAGAGAATGGATATCTGCACCTTCACACAAACATTTCACAGATTTCAGGTGGTTATGCCTCTGCCCCAGTGTCACTCAGGTTAAGTATCCCTGCTCCATCATCCCCTCTGGCTCTTGGAGGGACTAAGTTTGGACAGTTCATTGTCTCTAAGACACTGGGATTCTATGTGTCTATAATTTTATGAGTCTCCAAATCTAAGATCCTATATATTACCAATGTACAATTTAAATTGAGGTATGAACTTCTCTGGGCAATGGAGTTAGCAGCAGTTTTTCTCAAATTTGACATGTCCCAAACTGAATTCATTATCTTCCCTCCCTCAACAAAGAATTTTTGAGCACCTGTAATGTATCAGGCACTGAGGATACAATTATGATCAGAAGCAACAACAAAACCCCTGCTCCTTTAAATTCTCGAGAACTGGAGGTGGAGGTGGAGTAATTTCAGGTAGCATGTAATGCATGTTACAAAAGGAACCAGAAGAGCCTAACAGAAACAAATTTGTACAAGAAGTGGGGTTTAAATGAAGAGCTGACCAGAGGAGGCACAGAGTATATAGAACCGAAAAGAGCATCACTGTGGAGCGTGAAGCATGAGATGCTGCTTCCCAATTCCAGGGTGGAGTGCTAATGGGCAGAGTATGTGGCAGCAAAATCTACTTAAACTCTTGTCTGTGTTCTCTTGAAAGTCACACAAGAAGCTTGAGCGTCTATAATATATTCTCTCTTTCTTGTGGAGAATCCAGCCCATGGGTTCAGGTGGGAATTATCCCCATGGGGGGAACACATGACCCCAAACTGGTGCTCTACTACCCTGGCCATTGCGATTGGCTCGTGGATGGACACACGACCTAAGCAAGGCCAGTTAGAGTCTCTCAGGACAGAATACAACCCCCTCCGGTGTTTGAGGCCCTCTGTGACCGGCCCTCCAGGATCTCTTTAGCCTCTTGCCCCACCACCCCTGCTTGGCTGCAGTACAGAACAAAGTTCCAGGCAGGGCTCTGCTATTTCCCTTTCTGTGGCTCCGCACATGCTGCCGTTTGCTGAGGATGCCCTTCTTTTGCTACCCACTTTTCTAGGCTTAGCTCAGGGGTCACCTCCTCCAGGAAGCCCTCTGTCTCCTCTGGGCTCCTGTTACTGTCCTGATCATACTGGACTGCCCTTATGTGTCTGTCTCCCCTCCTGGCTTGTGAATTCCTTGAGGGCAGGGACCAGGTATGACCCATTCTGTGTCCCCAGAATTCAGTCCAAGGCTAGGCTCAGGTGAGGCCTCCTGGAATGTTTGCTAAGAATCTGAGAGGTTTTCTGGGTACAACTAATAATGTAGACCACTGCAAACAGGTGGATTGATAACTTTTTCCCCAGTGTTGGGGGGAAATCAGATGGGGGCCAGAGTAATGGGGAAGGCATGGGAGTCAAGGAAGTGGAGGCACCAGGCAACTCCTTTTCATATCCCAGCTGCCCTTCTGTCCTTCTCATCTGCTTAGGACACTTCTCATCAGTTTCCCCTTATTTGGGCCCTCACTAAACATTCCCTTCTGGGGATGTGACTTCAGATTTCTCCCTAGGAATCCCCAAATTTCCCAATGGTCCCAAACCTCTCTATCAAAGGTACTATGGTCTGAATGTTTGTGTCTACCTCAAATTCATATGTTGGAATCCTAACATTTATGTGATGGTATTAGGAAGTGGGGTCTTTGAGAGGCGATTAGTTTCCGAGGGTGGAGCCTACTTGAATGGGATTAGTGTTCTACTAAAGAGACCCTACAGCGCTCCCTTCCACCTTGTGAGCACAGTGAAAAGGTATTGGCTATGATCCAGGGAGGGAGCCTTCACCTGACCGTGCTAGCACCCTGATCTTGGACTTCCAGCCTCCAGAAATATGAAAAACAGACAGATAAAGCAGACTAAGATAAAAGATTCCCTAAAACTTGTCCTAATGATTCCTAAAACTCTGCCATTAATACCTCAAATTTCCCCTAAAAAACTATTTCCCAGCCCAGTGCCAAGAGGAGGGTGTGAGCCCCTTACCTAGGCCTTCTCCAGGGCAGGGAAGCTGGTGTTGGTCTCCTGTAATGGCCTCCAGGGGATGGGGAGGGCAGGTTCCCCCTTTATATTGTACCTCCCCCAACAGCTGCTCAGAAATGTGACTCTCCCCCGTCTATTTCTGGATGTCTCCTCAAGGCTCAGGAACACTAGCCTCTGCCCAGTCTGCCCTCGGCCAGTGCTCTTCCCATAAAAAAGGGGATCCCTGAAGCCAGAGAGAAAGTGGGCTGAGGCACGGAGGCTCCAGGCTGGAACCACTGCCTTCCCCCCGGATTTGGTGCTGCGCTCAGTACCCCTAGTCTCAGAGAACAACTCTTTGCATTCGTTCCTTTCAGGTGAGCATGGAGACTCACCTGAGGTCCAAGGAGAGATTCCCAGATCAAGAAGGCTGGGTCTGAGTCCCAGCTCCAGTGCCATTTTGCCATGTAATCATGGAGGACTTTCTGCCTCACTCCGGACCCCTGTTCAATGACTAGATTTGACTCCATCTCTTGGGACCTTTCTTGGGGTTCCAAGTCTTGGGATGGAAGAAACAATTCCCCAATGCCAGAGGGTGGAGAGAAGACAAAGCCATGATCCCAGTAGATCTGGTCCCAGGAACTGTCCCAGACAATATCTTCTGTTCTAGCAACTGCAAACGCTCAAGTCCCTCCAGGCAGGCAGGATATGTGAGCAGATGCTGCTTTTCACAGTAACGCTGACCAGTGCAGTAGCTCCTGATTTTCTAATCTAGGGGACCTTGGGGGTGGCTAGTCTCTTCGGAAAGGGGCAGAAAGACTTGTCTTAAAGCTGTTTGCCTGACTAGCACTCATTTTTGGGGATGCCACTCTTTCCACCTCCCACCCTCCCCCAGGCCCAGGCTCAGAGTTTCTCTTCCTTTTTGGACTATAGGGAGGCTTTTTGGAGAAAGCAGGATGCCAGGTGAAGGAAATTCTTTATTTAGCAGGCAGTCTGAGGGGATGGGGACCAGGGATGGGGCTAAACCAATGGGCCAGACTAGGATGGAGGCCTGGGGTAAGTCTACCCTCCATGCCCACCTCAGCCCCAGCAGGAAGTGGGTAGCAACTCTTCAATCCTGACATCCAGGAACCCCCACCTCCTCTGGCCACTCTGGGGGTGTAGCTCCCCCATTCCCAGGCTCAGGCCCTCAGAAAGCTCTTCCCAGAGCTTCCTACTGATTCCTCAGCTGTCCCCTTCTCCCATTACCTCTGACTGCGCATCCCAAGCGCAGAGCCAGGTTATTTATAGACAAGCCCACAGAAGCGGAGGGGAAAGGCCAGAGTTGACAGACCCGGGTCCCCGGAGCCTGAGCGGTGCAGGGAGAGAGGGTCTGGGAGCCGGCGGGCTGCACCCTGAGGATCTGAAAGAGGGCTCCGCGCCTGGCCGGACCCCACTGACAGAGCAGGGGGTAGAGACTGGAGGGGGTGCCGCTCGGGTACTGGGCCGCACGTGACCCAAGGAGTGGGCCGTATGCAAATTGCATGCAAATCAGTGAGTACGGAAGCGGCGACCTCCTGGCAGGCGGGGGACCCTCGTCGGGTTCCCAGGCCTAAGGGTCTGGTGGCCGGGTCAGGGCTCCCCTGAGGGAGGGGCCGAGTCTCGCCGCCCCCTCTCCCGACCCGGGACCAAGAGGGTCCTGGAGGGAGAACTCGCAGTTTGCGGCGGGGAGTCAGCCGCCCAGCGCCCCGCACCGCTCCGGCTCCCTCCGCCGCAGCTCGGGCGGGGGAGGTGTCGGGTTTCTGCCCCGACGCCAGGGGGCTATAGTTAGCTGCGGGACTTCGCTGGTCGGCTGGACTCCGGGGACAAGCCTCGCTCGTCGCGACGCCCGCCGGCACCCGCCGCCGAGCTGAACCTTCCCGCTCCCTCGGCCTCCCCGACCTCCAGGTGGGTGCCAGGCCCCGCCCCCTCCCCTCTCCGGGTGGAGTCAAATCACCTTGACCGTCCCCCAAAAAACAAACAAAAAACCCCCTCTAGGCAGAAAGCACCGAGTTTGGGGGCATCCGGGAGGCAGGGCAGCGGAGACTTGGGGTTGTGCTTGTGCTGGGGGTGGAGACAGTAAACCCAAGCCCTACCCATCCCTTAGGCCCGCCCATGTCTGGGCCCCCGAGTCCCGGGCCCTCTTCTTCGCGCCACAGGAGGGATGTGGGTCTCTTCCCCCAGCTGACTGAAGACAGGACTCCGCCGCTGCCCCCGAGCCCCCGGCATCCGGACCTCGCTCCCCTGGCTCCCCCAGGGATGCTGCTGGCTGCCCTGCTGCTCACCCTCAGCTGCCTTGGCCTTCACCCCCTCCGGCAGGTAACTGGGGGACCATTCCCTGCCACAGAGGAAACGGTCGGGAGGCAGATTCCTCAAAAATCTCTCCCAGGGACTGTTCTCCAAGACCCCAGCCTTCTTCCTCTCCGTAGCCTTCCCCCTGCAGGGAGCACCCAGTTCCCGATCCCTCTCCCAGAGCCCCCGGCTTCCCCCGCTGAGCCGCCTTCCTTCCTCTCGCCCCTCCCGAGGGGCTGCCTCTAACTTCCTCGGGCCGTTCCCGCCTCCTGCCACAGGCCGGCGGGTTGGGCACTCTGTGTAGGGCCCTCCTTCGGCTCCTCCCAGGCCAGGGCTCCTCCCCACACCACTCCCCAGGATTGGGGAGGAGGGCTTCTAAAGCGGGAGAGGACTCAGGAGTCTCAGAGCTGACAGTGGTTTGGTGTGGCAGCTGAGCATCTGCATGGGAGGGAAAGAGAGTCTGAGGATGGGGGGGAGGGTCAGATAATTGGGACACCAGTAGGACATTTGTGTATCATCTGCACACTGAGTCTTAGAGCCAGAACAACGCTTGGAAGCCAGCTAGCCCCACTTCCCACTGAATGTGGGAGACTCTTTGATGTCAGGATGACCCCTTTTAGGTTGTACAGAGGTGAAGATCTATATGCTGTTCTCACAGTAGCCCTGTGAGGTTGGAAGTAGCAATTTGTAGGTGGAGAACCTGAAGCCCAGGAGAGTTAAGAGACTGGCCAAGATCCCACAGCTAGTAGGTGATGAATGGCAGGATCTGAACCCATGTCTAACTCCAGTGCCTGTGTTATTTAAGCCCTTGGGCCCTTGCTAAATTGTATACACCAGATATTTGGGCATAAGAAATGAGATTCTGTGTTTCTGAACTGATCTGCCACCAGGACCCCTTCCAGTGCTTTGAATTTATACCCTTTCCTGTGTGGCTCCTCTCTTCCTTACCACATTAGGCCCAGGCTGTTCCCATCCTGCCACTGGGCCTGGCTCCAGACACCTTCGATGATGCCTATGTGGGCTGCGCAGAGGAGATGGAGGAGAAGGCAGCCCTTCTGCTGAAGGAGGAGATGGCCCACCATGCCCTGCTGCGGGAATCCTGGGAGGCTGCCCAGGAAGCCTGGGAGCAGAAGCAGCAAGGGCTCACACTGCCCCCTGGCTTCAAATCCCAGCATGGAATTGCCGTCATGGTCTATACCAACTCATCTAACACCTTGTACTGGGAGCTGAACCAGGCTGTTCAGACAGGCGGTGTCTCCCGGGAGTCCTACATGAGGCACTTCCCCTTCAAGGCCCTGCATTTCTACCTGACCCGGGCCCTGCAGCTGCTGCAGGGGAGTGAGGGCTGCAGCAGGGGACCTGGGCAGGTGGTGTTCCGAGGTGTAGGCACCCTTCGCTTTGAACCCAAGAGGTTGGGAGACTCTATCCGCTTGGGTCAGTTTGTCTCCAGCTCCCTGGATGAGGTGGTGGCCCACAGATTTGGCAATGCCACTTTCTTCTCCCTAAGGACTTGTTTTGGGGCCCCTATCCAGGCCCTGTCTGTTTTTCCCAAGGAACGTGAGGTCCTGATTCCTCCCCACGAAGTCTTCTTGGTCACCAGTTTCTCCCAAGATGGAATCCGGAGCGTAGTGACTCTCTGGAGTTACAATAAGACCTGCAGCCACTTTAACTGTGCCTATCTGGGTGGTGAGCTGTGCATGAGGGAAGCAGGACTGGCAGGGAGGGTGAAATAAGCCAGGATGTCCCCATATGATCCCCCGGGCCTTCAGGAGACCTACTTGGTTAACAGAGAAATTGAGGGCTAAAAGTCAGCTGCAGTTACTGTTCTCTGTGACTTAGGTCCTATCAGTGTTTTCTAGACCTGTGCATATTCTCAAATGACTCTGTAAATGCTCTCAAAAGGTTCTATCTACTGTAGAGTCTAATAGAGCAAAAGCACCCAGTTCAGAGATCAGCAAGCAGAGGAAAGTGACAGGAATGCTGCTTCAGATCTCAGGAATTCCTGGGCTTAACGGGGTCCACAGGACACATCTGTGTTATTCCAGGTGCCAAGGCAGGGACAGAATGGAGCAGTGACTGGGGCTGGGGTGGGAGCAGGGATGGATGGGCTATCTGGGAAGATTTCCTGGGGGAAGGAGGAGAAAGGAAGTCAGAAGTTTGCATTTAGGAGAAGGGAAGGATGGATTGAGAAGGGGAATTGCCAGTGCCAGGGCCTGGTGGGAAGGGGAGTTTGGGGTGTGAGGGTCTCACCATGCTCTCCATTACAGGGGAGAAGAGGCGGGGCTGTATGTCTGTACCAAGTGAGTTACTCTCCTTTCTCCTCCCTCAGCTGCTTTGACTCTTCCTGGCCCTGCTGGCCCTTCACCTTTTCTTCTCTCTCCAGCAGGGGAGGCAGCCAGATTTACCCTCCAACCGGGCCTTCTCTCTGCTCTCCTGGACAGCCCTGCTCTTGGCTCCTGTGGGGTTCCAGCTCTCAGGAGCTGGGCCCTTGAAAGTCCAATGCCTGCCACTTAGGAGTCTTGGGAACTGTTGACCTTCATATGAAGAAGGGGGCCTTCGAGCAGCCTTGAGAAGCAGGAACATGGTTTCATACCCAACTCTAGAAGCCATCTCCCCAACCAGGATGCGGGGGAATCTGAGGCCATGGAAGGGTGGAGGAAACCTCGCTATGTGGCAAGGACTCCCTGGGACAAGTAAGGGTAGTACTGTGATGACCACTTGATTAAACAGTGTTGGAGTGTGGTGACATTGAATTTCATGATTGGTTTATTTCATGACTCTGGACCATCTGCCCTGCTCTGGCCTTGCCAGACTGAGGGACCTGAAAGAATGACTTCTTTATCACTCCTAGACGTGGTCCCCTGTGCAGACCCCTGTCACACACTATAACTTGCAAACCCAGAAGTTTCATCAGCCTGAGGTTCCTCACAACATCCTGAAGGCAGGAAGGGGACAGATGGGTTCCCCGGCTCATTCGTCAGAGGAATGCAAAGCCAAGGAAGAAAGCAACTTGCTCAAAGACAGAGTTAGTACTGAAACCAGACCCCCTGCCTTGCAGTCCAGAACTCTTTGCACTAAAGAGCTGAAGGAATCCAAGGTAGGATCCTAAGCCCAAGATACTTGGGACCTCAGAGCAAGCTGTTTCTCTCTGCCCTGCTCCCACAAGGGTCCATTTTGGGGGAGGGAGGGAGAGGATCTCAAAACACGAAGAGACAGAGATTCTCACACGCTCTGGAGGCATCTGACGTCCTGAACAGAAACTTTATTTAGAGGTAAAGACAGCGGGATAGCCTTCTACTAAATGCCCCCCCCCGCACCGCGTAGGCTGCCCTAGTCAGCAGCAGAAGGAGCCCTCCCACTGCAGCAGGAGCCCTCCTTGGTTCCCAGATCTTCCTCCTGGGGCAGGTCCCCAGCCGCCTCTGGCTCCTGCTGCCTATGCACCAGCACATGAGCCAGGGAGGAGGGAACAGGCTCTCCAGGAGCTGGAGTCCCAACTCCTCCAGCGTCCTGAAGGCCAGTTTCTGAAGATACCTGGGTCCCCATAATCCCGGGCCCTGTCAGCTCTGGGGTCTCAGGGATGAGGGGGCCCAGGATTTGGACGCTGTTGTGCACTCGGGTGATATAGCGGCTGGGGATGCTGGCACCCTCAGGGTGCTGGGGCATCCCTCCCTCCGCCAGAGTCTGCCGCACACCAGCTACCTCACTTTGCAGTCGAGAGACAGTCTTGGTCAGCTCTGTCAGTCTGTTGCCCAGGTCTGTGGGAGGGTGGGTCGGGGGGAATATTGATAGGAGGTCCCTCAGAAGATGAACCTGTCCTGTATCACTTTTACCCTTGACAGAACCCCAGGGGACATTATGCTTGGGGTTCCTGAGGGAGAAGTGGAGGAAGTGAGAATGGGGGTCTAGTGAGCGGGCGGAGTCTGGGGCAGGTGAATATGAATGGGGCTAGGTGGTGGTGAGTTTAGAAGATACAAAGAAGGGATCAGGAGTCCTAAGGATGGGAAGGTGTTTAACAGGCAGAGATTTGTACATCTGCCCTGTCAGCCCTCTTCCGCATCTACACCTGTCCATGTATCGCCATCTTCTGGGCCCAGTTCAAATCCCACCTCTTCTTTCTCAGCTTCTGACACTCTGTCCTTCTGCCATGAGCCTCTCAGAATAGTAGGCTCCTTCTCTCCTTTGGGGCCACTGCAGTTTGTGTCTCTCTTAGTTAAGCACCTTCTGCCTAATAAGACTGTTTCTCTTCCTCACCAGACTGACAGCTTCCTATGTGTCCCTGATCTACAGGTCCCCCTCCCTCCGAGACAGAGCCTGGAACAAAGGGGACATGGCCATGAGTGTTGATTGAATGAGTGAATAAGTGAATGACTAATGGATTAAGTGAACGAGTAAATGACTAGGGAGTGAATTAGAATAAATGAACACATAAATGAAGGCAAGAGTAAAGGGTTACATGAAATGAGCAGAATAAATGAACGAGTCAGAGGGTAATTGAGTGCAAGGGGCCGCACAGTTCAGGCTGTAGCTTCTAAGGGCAGGTAGGATGGGGCCACATATAACTGCAGGCTGGGTGAGGGGTGTGAGTCTGGGTGTGGTGCACTTATCCCAGCCAGCAAGGAACAGGAATGGGAAAGGCTTGGAGGTGAGCAACCAACCTTTCCGACGGGTCTCCTCGAACTCCCGCTGGGCAGTCTCTATGTAGCGTTGCACCAGGGCCTTGATGACTCGAAGGCGGTAGGATCCATGCTCACCCTCCCCAGGCCCCGCTCCTGCCCCAGGATTGGCCTGGGATGGGAAGACAGGAGGGTGAGAGAGGTTCTCCAGCACAGACTTTCTCTAGTCACTGTGGCTCCCTCCCCTAGGCAATGCAGGATGGAGGCAAAGTTGGTGCAGACTTTTCTGTCCCTGACCACACATCTAGACTCTGGTGCAGTCCTGGAAGGCAGAACTTGGGTGGTGGGGTGATGGTTGGCAGGTGGAGCAGGGATTGGGCAGAGACAAAAATGTTGAACAGGGCTGAGGTGAGCTCTCTCTCTCCTGCCACCATCCCAACCTTGGTTTTCCTGAGTTGAGTTAGTCCAAGTTATCCCTCCCCTTGAAACTCTCCTCCCCTCGCAGAGGGGGAGACAAGGGAATTTGGGGAGGGACCTGCACAAGCCTACTCATGCATACAACGTGGAAATCATCATGTAAATTAGAATGATCTGGGTCCAGTTTTAGGCCTCAGGATAGTACCAGGAGGGCAAGTAGGGCATACGGGACAGATAATTGAAGGAGAGAGAGAGAGCAAGCAAAGGTAAAGAGAAAGTAGGCAAAGTGCTGGACTCAGAGGCTGAAATCCCAGTGCTGAGCAGTTGTGTGCCTTAGGGAAGTTACTCAACTTCAGGCCTGAGTGTCTTCAGATTTAGAACAGAGATGGTAATAACGCCTCCCTCCCAGGTCTGTACTTCTTTGGCATAGAGTAGGGGCTCTCTAAATACTTGGGAAACAATTATTTTTATTTATCTAGTTTTATCCTTTTAATAAAAGTAGAACATTTTATTAAATATTTGAAAAGGAGATATGAAATTGACAGATGGAACAGGCAGAAGTCTGAGAGAGAATGATGGGTCCTTTCAGCTACAGAGCATATAAAGCATTTTTGTTGTATAAAATAAGGAATAAGAACTTTGGGAGGCCATTTCCTGAAGATGCAGAATAAGTGGGAGGGGACGCCTGGTTGGATCATCAGAGAGCAGGCTAGGAAGTGGGATAGCAGGAAGAAGGGTGGGACCTCAGTGGAGGTGCAGTGGAGGTGCAGTGGAGGACTGACGAGACCCCCAGCTGGCTGGTATGGTGAGACCCTGCAGAATGCGATGACTCTGCCCAACCAGGACTGGGCACAGACCCAGAGAACTGAATCTGACCTCAGGTGAAGAAGCTGAGTTTCACCCTAGGGCAGAAGCAGCCCTGATATATGTCTGCAAATATGCTCCAGGCAGCCTGGGCAGGGCCAGGAAGTGCCAGAGGGAAAGCATGGTAATTCAGGATTTGGATCTGAGGTCCTGGAGGGTGACAGAGGTGTCCACACAGGGTAGCCTGGAGCCAGGATGTGGTGGAAACTGGGAACGTTATGCATTCAGTTTCTTGTGCTGTGCTGTTTTGTTTTTTTTCAATATATATTGATTTCATAGAGAGGAAGGGAGAGGAAGAGAGAGAGAGAGAGAAACATTAATGATAAGAGAGTCGTCATTAATCAGCTGCCTCCTGCACGCACCCAACTGGGGATTGAGCCTGCAACCCCGGGCATGTGCCCTGATCAGGAACTGAACCTCCATCTCCTGGATCCTAGGTCAATGCTCAGCCCCTGAGCCACACCCAGCCAGACTCGCTGTGCTTTTGTACATGCTGTTTCCTGTGCCTAGAACTCCCTTCTCCACCCTATCTCCCCTTCCTCCTGTTTATTTTTCAGGATTCTGTTCTGCCCTCCAGGTCTCTAGGAAGCTCCCTGATTCATGAGGCTGGGTCCAAGCCCTCTCCTCTGCGGTCTAGTAGCGCCCTGTGCTTCCTTCTGTCATAGGCTTGTCACCCTGTACAATTCGAGTCTGTTTCCTTCTGCTACTCTAGTCTGTCAGCACTTTCAGGGACCACCATAATTTATATCTTTATTTCTAGTACAGGTGCTTTGGTAAGTGTTTGTTGAACAAACTATTGACCAACCAGATAAGGGAAGGTCTCCCTCATCTGGGGTTCCAGGGACCTCAGAGCTGCAGAGTTGGCCTGTTGCCCTGGAGTGCTAACCTCGAGGCCCTGGCCTAGAGAGATCCTCAGGTAACACATTTTAAGGGAAACAGACAGACCTGGCAGTAGTTCTGGTCTAAATTAGGAAGGGGCTCCCCTGGCCAGGTAGCTCAGTTGGTTAGTGTGTCATCTCAATATGCCAAGGTCGAGGGTTTGATCTTTGGTCAGGGCACACACAAGAATCAACCAATGAATGTTTAAGTAAGTGGAAGAACGAATAGAAGTGGTGTTCTCTCTCTTTCTCTCTCTCTCTCTGTCTAAATTCAATAAATTTAAATAAATAAATAAATAAATAAATAAATAAGAAAGGGGCTCCCATGCCAAGGAACAGATAAGGGAGGTGTGTGAGCTCCTTGGAGGCCTGGCCTCCTCTTTTAGGCCGCTGTCAGCCTTCCACTGTCCCAGTTTGTGGGGCATTTTTCCCCTCAGCTTCTTAACATATTTTTCTGAAAAACATTCAACCATGTCCGGGCCCAGTTTAGGGCAAAAAGGTTTGTCTGGAGTTTATAGGATGGTGGTGGCTTGGGAGGAGGGGGTGCATGGACTTCTGTTTAAGCTGGATGATACAGGGTTGGAAATTTAGGAAATGGCCAGAGCCGGGAAGGGAAAGGCATGCCATGTGAGAGAGCAGGAATTAGGAACAGGCTTTCTGGGGAACACACCTGGAAAGACAAACAAGCCAGGGGTGTGCAGACAAATGGATGGAATAGACAGTACCATTGAAGTCAGGAGGACCAGCACCAGGCAGATGAGGTACTCACAAAGGTGGGGATCGGGGGATAGTCTGGCTTCTTGGTTTTGCAGCAGGAGCAGCAACAGCAAATAAACCGGAAAATTCTCCTGAGAGATTAAGATGGTGGGAAGAGGTTAGTCAGAGGACAGGGTCTAGGGAAGTGGGGGCAGGAGGTGGTAAGGTGGTGCAGTGGTGCTGGGTGCTGGGTATTGGGAGTTAGAGCTCTGAGGTCATCACCTGAGAAGGTAGAAGATGGCCTTGGGGGAGGGCAGGATGTTGAAGGGCACAGGCAGGGTCAGGCCCTCTCGGAAGTAGGACAGGTAGAGCTTGGAGCGAGCAAACTTCCATTCTACATCGGCATCGTCCTGTGGGCCAGGAGGTAGGGGCTCTGCAAGGACCGCTCTGGTACCCAGCCCTCCTGCCCACTCAGTCTGCCTCACTTCCCCCTATCCTCAGGTCTCTTCTACTCAAGGTGCTTCTCCCCATTCTTATCTCTGTTATGGTCCATCACCCACATTTCCCCTGCCTATCTCCCTGTCTCCTCTCTTCCTCCCTATTATTTTTATCCTTCTGACATCCAATTCCTACCCAGACATTTCTCCAGACACTAACCCTAACCTGTTTCCTTCCCTTTCCCTTTCCATGTTTCCACCTACTTTTCCACAACGCACCCTTCCTCCCAACCATAAAGTGGAAAGAGCACTAGTCTCTGGAGAAACTAAAGCATTACTAAGACCCTCATTTTACAGATGAGGAAGATGAGGCTGAGAGAGGAAAAACTGTCTCCAGTCACAAAAGACAATCATGAAGGCAGAGCAGGAACCCAAGTGTCTCCACTCCTTGTATCCTATTCCCCTCTACCCCTTTCTCCCTTCTCCTCCCTGGTCTCAGCTGGCTTCAGTTCACATACCTCAATCTTCTGGAAGGAGTTGGTGATCATGGCAATGAGCATGTTGAGCAGCACAATGACCATGACGATGGTAAAGATGCCATAGAGGGCCCGGCCCACAAATTCAGGCACCAGAAACTGAGGCATGTCTACCACGCTGTGCTCCTCCATGCCAAACATGGTCCAGAACAGAAACTGGAATGTCTCATTGAAACTGGCATGTTGGGACAAAGGGTAGGATGTTAGGGGTGGGAGATGAACCTGAGTGCCACCCAGATACTCTCCTCTTCCCCTCCAGGATCCAGCCAGAGGCGTTCTGCTTCCATGAAGCCCTCAAGACTACCCTGGCTCATTCAGACACTTGCCATTTCTGAGCTCCAGCTTTCATTCTTTCAGTCAACCAATATTTATTGCGCACATAGTAGAGCCATAGATGCTAAGGATACAGCCGTGAACAAGACACTCGCGGTCCCTGTCTTCAATGACCTTATGTTCTAGGGTGGGAATAGGGGGAGAGATGGACACTAATTATAGCAACATTTTAAAATTGTGGTAAGTGCTTTGAAACAGCAGCATGAGATGTTATGACCTAGTCTGGGAGTTGAGGAAAGAATATTTGAAAAGCATTCAAGCATTCAGCTAACTCTGAAGGATCCATGGGGATCAACCAAGTGAAGGAAAAAGAGATGCGAAGAGTTTTCCCAAGGCAGGGAAGCCTGAGAGCATTGAGGAACTGAGAGAAGGCCAGCATAGCTGGTCTCAGAGGGCAAAGGAGAGAGAGGCTTGTGAGACAGAGGCATGAGATGTAAGTTGGGACCAACCGGGTCAAGTAGGACCTTGTAAGATAAAAGCAAAGATCCTTACCATGGCCGATGAGCATTAGGAAGCTATGAAGAGTTCTAAGCAGAGGGGTGATACCTGATTTTCATGTTGGCTGCTGTGAGTAGAATGGAAGGGAAGCAGATGGGGGGGGGGGCCATGGAGACCAGTTAAGAAAATGTTGCCATGGCCTGGGTGAGAGAGGATAGGGGGTAGTAATAACTCCAATGCTATCTCCTCCAGGAAGCCATCCCTGAACTTCCTTCTCTGCCTCCAGCAGAAAGTGCATATCTGTGAGACACTCACAGACCTGACCACAATAGGATGGGTCCTATTGCATTTAGTTGTAAATCTTATTCCTGCCATCTCAGCACCAGTTCAGGCTTAGATTACTGCAACAACCTCTGCAACTGGTCTCTGACCTAGTCTCTCTCTTCTTTCTCCATTGTCTACATTGCATCCAAAGTGTTCTTTCTAAATGCCATTCTGATGAGTTGTACTTTTGCTTGTCAAACACTAAATGTCCCGAACTATCTGACCAATGGGCTAAACCGACAACGTGTGTCTCCCGATGTGATGTGTGGGAAAGTACACATCATCAACTAGTGAGGGAGTGAACAAATAAATGAGTGTGAATCAACATGGGAGTGATTCACCAAACCAGAAAGTTAATTATTGAGTGAATAGATGAAGGGGATAGAAAGAAGTGACTGCTAAGCTCCCAGCTGCAGGGTCCCAGACTCCCACCTGCCCACCCTGCCTCTGCCCTGGCATACTTGCCCAGCCGCTCTGTCTCCTGGTAGGGCACATAGATGTTGTTGAGGCCACAGAGGAAGGCAGTCAGGATGATCATGAGGATGAACATGAACCTGGCAGGGGGTGGGTTAAGGAGGATCAGGGCAAGTCTCCATCCTGAGAGAAGTCAAGCTCTGGGAAGAGGGATAGGTGTGGTGACCTTTCAGGCTCAGCCTCGCTACTTGACAATATTCAATTTGTTTACTGTTAAGAATGGAGAGCCTGGCTGGGCATATCTGTAAATGATTAGGTGATGACCGAGACCAGAAAATGCCATGGGTTCAAAGAGCAATTATGTAGTGGGAAGGGTCCAAAGGGACCCCTCAGTCCAGTGCCCTTACCACAAAGATGGAAAAACTGAGGCCCAAAGGGGGTCACAGAGACAGTGACAGAACCGGGATTGGAACCCACAGCCAAGGGCTCTTCCTGCTGTCAGTTGTTCCTAATCTTTTTTGAACCACAGGACTCAAAAGATTTAGATTAGAGTTATAGACTCTCTGCAGAGAAGTGTGCATTTACACCCCAAATTTTGCCTATAGTTTCAGGTTCCCAGAGGACCCTGGAGCCTATGCAAGGAACCCAGGTTGAACCCCTGTGCTAACTAGAGCTGGGGAATTTCAGAAGGAGGTTCAGTTGTGAGTGGACTCTATCAGAGGGGAGGATGCTCTGAGCTGGGACAGGACGCACCGGATCATGTCGTCAATCATCTTGCCAATGGAAATCTGCAGAGTGCCCAGCGACTCATGGGCCGGCAAGATGTAGGCCAGACGGGTGAAGCTGAGCATGCTGGTGACAGCAAAGAGCACCTCAGCCAAGAACTGGGGGTCCTCGGTGCGCCACTCACTTCTCTCTGTGCAGGGTGGAATGGGGGCTGAGGCTGAGAGCCCAGGAAGAGAAGGGATTGGGGGATTCAGGACTGAGTTGGGGGGCACTCACCAGCTGAGGTGAAATAGTGGCAGGCAGCCCCATTGGGGGCATCCCGGCAGTTCATGTGGGCAAGCCCAGCCACGAGGAGACGTAGTGCAAAGGCCGCCAGGTACAGGGACAGGATGACGACGTCCAGGAAGTTCCACCAGTCCAGGAAGTAACTGCGCAGGCCCTCTATCCACACTTCCTTACACTCAAACCATAGGAAGCCTGAGGGGGTGGCAGGGCCCAGGGCGGGATGAAGTAGAACTCCCCTCCTTCCAGGTCAGAGCTAGATTATGGTTGGGGAAACCTATCTATGGTGGGGGTGAGGGCTAAAACATCATGGGGATGAAGTTGATAAAATATAAACATTTAACCTGCTTAAGTACAAAGTGATTTTATATGAAAGTAAAGACTCCTGGCTGATTCAGACTCACCTGTGCTGTGGCCTATACCAGTGGCCCCAGTCAGCTGACATTCAAAGTAACACCTGGCAGAGGCTGTTTAGGTGAAGAAATGATTTATATTTGTTCTTTCCTGCCCTCCACTAAATAAATATTGGACAAATATTTATAAAATATTGATATGAAGGTGCTCCAAATGATCAACCTGATCATTATCAATTATCCTGGGACCTAATGCCAGACCTGGCGATGGGGGTGGTCCTGGGAGCTGGACCTTCGTTAGCCAGGTGATGGTCACATTTTACCCTTCCCCAGTCTCTGGGTACAAGCCTGTGCTCTTTCACTCATGGTCCTGTCTGCCTAGAATGCCCTTCCACACCCTTGTGAAGCCAGGCTTGCTCTGTGGCCCAGGCTGAATATTATCTCCTCTATGAGGCCTGCCCTAACCAGGGGCAGTGAGTGCTCCCTGCTCTGTGTTCTGGCGCTCTTCAGATCTCTGGGATGCCATCACTGTGGGCCACTGCAGGGGTCTGTCTCCCTCCCCTCCTTTGAACTTGGAATCCCTCAGGGGCAGGGACCATGTCCAATTCATCTCCCAGTCCCCAGTGCCCAGAATGAGGCCCCTGGTGATTGTTAAACAAACATTTACTAAACTCTACCATGTGGCAGTGGGTTCCTGTGGTCAGTAAGACAGGCAGCCCCTGACTTCCCAGGGTTCCTAATCTAGTGAGGAAGACAGGCAGTAGCCAGGTAGTTATAATCAAGTGTGGGAAATGCTAAGGCCGAGGAGCAGGGGAACAGAGGCTGTTATGGGGATGGATCCTCACCCTGATTAGGGAGCCAGGGAAAGCTTCTCACAGAAAGTGACCTTTAAGCTGAGACCTGCCGGAACAGCCAGGTGAAGGGGCAGCATGGGAAGGGGAGAGTGCTCTGGGGACAGTGAATGAGCATGGCCTGGAGACGAGCAGGAGCATGATGTGGTCAGGAACTGAATCAGCGTCCAAGGCAGGAGAACACCTTAGTGGGGTAAGGTGGATGCTCGGTAATGTATGTCGAGTGGGTGGATGGAACTGAATTTAATTTATCTATGCATTCTTAGGTCTTCACCACCCACAGTAGGGCAGAAACAAGCATTTATTGCAAGAAGAAATGAAGAATTTTGTTTCTTAAGGTTTTCTTCCCCCATGGGCAGAAGCACAGGTTAGTGATGTTTAGTTAATAACTGGATGAGAAACTTTTCCTTTTGGACTGCTCTTGTCCCCCTCTCCCTCTTTTCTTGGCCAAATATCCTTTCAGGCATCATTGTCTTGGTACAGGGTGGAGTAGTGGGCTTAGTATACTGGAGTTGGCTGAGTAAGCTAGAGCTAAATGAGGGGAGGACAGCTGAGGAAGGGACCACCAGTCCAGCCTGCTGAACTAACAAGCCAGAGGGTAGGAGAGCTCTGGGGATTCTTGTAAAATGCATTGCTGAATTATTTGAGAATGCTCCATTCTGTTGTAGAAGAAAACACCAATGGGATGGACGAAATGTATTAAGCATAGGTAAGTTAGTTATCCGGGTGAACAATTAAAGTAAGAAGAGCATATGTATGTGAAGATACATAGAAAGGGATGGGTAGACACTAAATATTCATAACACACTGAATATTCATGAGGCAGATGAGGAGCTCAGGATTTATCAGATCTTAAATCAGCTACCCACTGGTGCTAGCCATTCTGGCCCCACATGTTCTCTGCCTGAAGATTGCAAAGAAAAGTCATAGCTGCTCATCAGAATGATTGGCAAGCTACAGCTATAGCCAGACAGACCTTCCCCTGGGTTTCTCCCATAAAACAAGTGTGGGGCCCAGGCAACTTCTGGCTGTTGCATCTCCCACTCAAACCTCAACTCTGGTCCTCATAACAACACCATCATAAGTACACCACATGTGGATTTCTTAATTTGGTCTGCGAGCCTTTCTATTCCATGATCTTTGGGACAGATTGGCTGGTGGTGGACTTGCAAGTTACCATTATACCTAGATAAGTTCCCACCTGACATTATGAAGCAGTGTCTTATTTGTGAGAGGATAGGAACCTCCAAGTCAGGGAAGAATGGGGTCCTTGCTCAGGGAGCCTAGCACAGGGCCAGGGACCCTAATTAGGGAGGAAGGAAAAAGTCCCCTTGGTGTGCTAGAGCCCAAAGGGGTCTGGTTATGTTCAGGGGCATCTACAGGGGCAAGGGACCCCCACTGGGGCACTCATCATGAAGAACAGTGAAGAGGCACCCCAAGTGGGGCTCACACATGCCCCACACATGTACCTGTGACCCAAACCATGTGCAGTGAAGTCTCCCAGATGCTCTGGCTGCGGCCGTGGAAGGTGCTCAGCTGTGTCTCCATGACCAAGGACTCTCCCAGCAGGAAGATGAGGAACCAAAGGTAGGAGGCGGAGTGCAGCAGGAACTTCAGCACTGGGATCTTCAGCAGGCGGCCCAGCTTGGGGGGAGGGAGGGAGAGCATGGCCCTCAGAGTCCTGTTCATGTCTCTCTCTCCTGTGAGTACTTCTGGAATGCTCAGCCCACACGTGACTCCCCTTCACTCCCTTCCTCAGACATTTATCAAGAATTTACTATAGGTTAGGCCTTATACTTTCTTATCTATTGTCTCCTTCACAACCATGAGGTGGTTATTATTATTCTCATTTTTTCAGCTAAGGAACTGAGGATCCCACAGCAAAAGTAACTTTCCCTTGGAGGTCCAACAGGCTCTTCAATCTCAACCACAAAAAACTAAAATAAAAAATAAATTAATCATCTTCTATCCCAAACTCATTCCTCCTCCTCCTCCTGTGTCCCCATTTTAGAAAATGACCTGACCACCCAGTCCAGGAACCCTAAAGGCATCTCTGCACCCTTTCTGTCACACACTGGGAAGTCTCCCTCGCTCCTGCCCCCTCCCCTAACCCATCCTCCACACCACTCGTAGTGAGCTTTCCAAAGCACGAAACCACTGGCACCGCTCACATCATCAAAAGCCTGCAGTGGCTTCCATTGTTGCTTATATGGCTCTGAGAGGCCTGGCTAGTGCTTACTGCCTACCTTCCACCACTGGCTATTTGCACTTAGGCTTTAGCAGCACAGAATTCCTTTCAGTTTCTCTCCTACTTTACATCCTTTCTCCCCTGGGCCTGTGGACATGCTGTTCCTGCTTCCTGGACGCTGCCCTCCCTAGTCCTCACCTGGTTGACAGGGACAGGGATGGCTTCTCATTATATCCCAGCACCAGGCACAAAGCCTGGCTCACAGTAGGCTCTCTAGAAAATAGTTGTTGAACGAACGAATAAAAGTATCTGGGACCACAAGGCTCCCAAAGAATTTGTCAGTTGGAGTAGCCATCTCTTTAGGAGAATATAGGCTTGTATATAGGATTCAGGCTTTGGAGGCAGAGAGACCTCAGCTTAAATCCTCACTCTGCTATTTACTGTGTCCCCTCAACAAAAAGAGCACTTCTGTTCCCTGTGCCCATATAATAGAGGTGTAGTGCTAACCTTTCAGGGCCACCTCTAATTACTTAATGGCAACATTCCCAAAGTGCCTTGCCCAGGGCCTGGCATAAAGCAAGTGCTCAAAGAGTGACAGTTATTAATTTTATTCTTAGTACCCGGGACTTGGGCGCCAGCCAGTAGCCGAGGCAGAGGAAGGGCATGGTGAGGAAGATGAGGAAGGCGACAAAGAGCTTCCAGATGGTGGTGCTTCCACGCCAGCCGGCCAGGTTCCCACACCAGATGGAGGACAGGACTTGCTGGCAGATGGGGTGTGCTACAAACTAAGAAGAGATGGGGTGGCCACCAGGCAGGGAGGAGGGAGGGAGCCAGTTTGGTACACAGCCTTTACTTCCCTGCCATAGAGATTGAACATGTTTCTTTCCTCCCCAGGCCAGCTAGTCAGCTCAGAAGAGAGGTAACTCATGTGCCATGTGACCTTGCACAGACCCCACCCCTCTTTGGGTCTTGGTTTCCTAGTCTGTGAAGGAGAAACTGAACTCAGATTCTCCTGACTCTCCAGATCCCACATTCTTGAAACTAAGTCAGACAGTGATAGGTGGAATGGGATATCCAAGTCCCAGAACCCTCAGGGTCCTTTGTCTTCTTAGAAATGTGGGGCACTAGCCTGAATGGTCATGAAGAGGGGAGAAGCAGGAAAATGGGAGTTGGTATCTC